TTAGCCTAATATCAACTTTAAGTAGTAGTAGAGTGTTGTCTTAGTTAGCTTCAAGAATCAATTATGTTAAATATGTCAAATATATATATATAATATCTGTTTTCGGCTAGCTTTTAGCTTGTTGTAAAGCTACATTTTTTTTTCTAGATTTGTTTTGCAATAAATGTGACAGATGACGCGTCCAATTGAGCTAAAGTTAGATTTTAGCCTCAGGTTTTTGTTAACATTCTGTGGACGACTTGATTTACTTTTAGGTATTTAATCGAAGTATGTCTGTCTTAGTCCAGGTTGGTTGTTTTTGTTCATCTTTATCAGTATAAGAATGTTCACCTCAGTGTGTGGATGGTGAAACACCTGCAGACTTTATCTCCTGACATCTGTGTCATCAACATCTGTGATGACATCAGGTGATTTAACATGAAGTCATCAACACAAACCTCATTCCTGAGAACACGTTCTGCTCTGACTGACGCGGACGATGATTGTAGTCCGGCTTCACTCCGTTCTACTGCATTTCTGTCCAAACCCACATCATCTCTGACTCTATGAGACATAATGAAAGGGAGAGGACGGAGGAAACTATATCAGAGACTCTTGAGTTTTCCAATTTGCTGGACTGTCCCAGCCTGGAGTGCACCTCCGGGGTTTTTTTTTTTTTTTTTTTTTAAGAGTTAATCGGCAGCCAAGAGAAATAAACAAGGTCGTAAACATTTAGTGCCGAGGGAATGGCCACCAGGGACAGCTTATTTTTCATTCTCCGTGAGAGCATTGTCCAGTCCTGATACTGTATGTCCTGCTGCCCACAAAGGCACTCCATAAAAACACAGTTCACTCAAGTGTTGCCAGGATGATATAACACACATGGTGCGTGTTAAACCACAGATGAAGCCTGTAAACACTGCAGCAGGGTAATTATGAGAGGGCGAAAAAACAAACAAAACAAAACAAACCAAACCAAAGGGAATCACATGAGCCTCGTCACCTCCTGTACAGTTCACATGTTGTTTATCAACACAGTCACCAGGATCATGTGAAGAACCACAAATGAGGAAATAAGGCTGATGTCACATGACCTGGTATTATTGTCTCGTTAGATGAATCATAATAATAATAATAATGAAATAATAATAATAATAATAATGAAAACAATTCCTCTGGTTGATGCTAAACATAGCACAGAGCGCCGCTGTGTGGTTGCCCTGTATATCGACAGCAACGGCGTGGTCCAACTCCACTGACGCCACATTTGGGAACGTTTTAATCCGTCAGGTGCATCTTCTTCTGCAATTCCATTACTGCCACCTACTGGGCTGGAGTCTGCGTCAGAGTTACAAGTGTGCTAGTACAGTGTCATTATAACTGTGTAATTTTACGTCTTTAATTCATTAAATGTGTATATAAACATAAAGGCTTCTAACAACCTGCGTAGGAGGGTGTGTGTACATTACGTACGGCTCCGACTGACTGTCGTGTGTGTTGACTCACAGCTGGAGATTAAGATATAGATGAAGCAGGGATTAATGTTAAGAACTGACAGGTGCGTCACTGCCATGCGGACGTTCAGGGGAAGGCGACGTCACTGACGCTCTGTCACGCCTGATGAGAAGCGCTGAATGTTTGAATCTCCGTCAAATCTGAGTCAGAGCGGCTCCTGGAGTCGGATGACGGGCGAACGTTATCTCGTGTCAGATGAGACCTGACGAAGTCGGTGTCATCGCTATTGTCTCCTGGCAGACTGATAATAAACCGTAATTTCTGAAAAACACAATTTTCTGCATCGTCGATCACTAATGTACATAAAATAAAATGAACTTTGAAACTTTTTTGTTCTGAAATCATGGCCAATCTTAGATTTCCTGAAAAGCCGTCAACGAGATGTCACAATCTCACTTTCTTACAGAAAGGTACATTTTTCTTGTAAAAAATACAAAAACAATTTGGACTCCAGTGTGAACCAAAGTCTGAACAATTGAAAAGAGCAGAAATTGTTTGGAAGGAAAGATGAGAGTTGTCGTTGTTGTTGGGGAACTGGTCATAAATTGCATTTTAAATAAAGTGTTGGTTGTAAAGTGACTCATAAAACAGCCACTGTCAGATGGAATATTCTAGATCAGCTGCCATTTGTAGTGTTTTTCCTCAAAATAAATATTTTTCCAAGATACTACCCATTTGTTTAAACAAAAAGAGCTTGTACCGTAATAAACAGAAATGAGGGTAAAATCCAACTTATCTGCATAAAATACAGTTTTAGGTAGAGTTTTTCTGTAAAAACTGAGTATGTCAGTGTGTAAACCAGAGGTGTCCGACTGATTTTCAGGCTGCACACAACTTAAATAGACAACAAATGGGCCGGATCAGGACAATCACAACATAATTAACTATAAATAACAACAGATCCATGTTTAAAACTGTTTACAATCGTACAACAACAAATATCCTGAACATGAAGTGTTTGTTTTATTTATTTTCACATTTCATCAAGTGGGCTGGATTGATCACACTAGCGGGCCAGTTTTTGGCCCGCGGGCCATATGTCTGACACCCCAGGTGTAGACTGAGGCTTTATCTTTTTATTTATTAAGGTTGAATACAGTCGATCCTTGGGCTTTTTTGACCATTGGCCTAACTGTTTGTGGATTCCGACCAGGAAGTTGCAAAGTTGGAAACATTTGTTCATATTTGTCAACATGTAAACTTATAAATGGTCCAGAGTTGTTCATCTGAGCCGGTCTTTATAACTGATGCAGTGAAAGGAAATCGTCCAGCTTCAGCTCCAGCTCCAGCTCCAGCTCCAGCTCCAGCTCCAGCTCCAGCTCCAGCTCGGTGGCTAAAGCTCCCAGGGCAAATCTGATAAATGAGCAGCGCT